TAAGCGACCCAAATTTAAATTTCAACACATATTTTTCACTTGTAAATGAGATCTTCTAACAGACAACATAAGGATCACACAACCTCAGAACACTCCGTAGGAGATAACCCACCTGTTTTGCCTCCAACTAACATTTCCGTATACCTTCCACTGTCATAAACACTACGCAGTCACTTAGTCTTCCTGAGTCTGAACTCATACCGCATCATGATTTTTTTTTTACTCACTCCCACAAGGAAACATGGAAAGATTCTTCACACGCCCATAACTCGGGGCTATACCTCGAATCAAGATGGAAATCAAGCACCTAATAGTTCTTCTATCCTCCAGCAGACCTTTCTCGTCGCTTCCAAATCATATGAATACATCTCGCAGTCACATCATACTCGTCACGTAACAATCCAGTCATCACTTCCCTTAATAGGGACACAACAGCACATATAGATCCAGAAACACGCGCTCACGCAATCAACACCTCGGTGCTCAAGCTATAGGCAAAAATCCGGCCTCAAGTATTCCAGACTGGCCCAACATCAACACACTGAGATCACATCTCGCCCCTCGATCAGGGAATCACGAGCAATCGATGCAAATCGGATACTGAGCGCTCATGCGTGCACACGAACGCGTGGAAGGAATTCAAAGAGTTACATTTCGAGCTGCATCAAAGGACGCACGATAGAATTCAAGAATGTGAAGTTTTCCTAAAGGTTCTGCAGCCTCTCGAGGATAAATACAGACGTCTCCGTACCGATTCGCGAGACTCTACTAAACCTGCTCATGACTCGTGAGACCTATGTAACCTAGGCTCTGATACCAACTTGTCACGACCCCAAACCGAACCCGGTCGTGATGGCGCCTCTCGTGAAGACAAGGCCAGCCGACACAATTCTCCAAGTCAACCATTTTCCATTAAAAGTTGTTTTTATACCATTTATAAACCATTAACCTCATAATGAACATTTAAAAGAAAAATGCAGAATAATTATACAAGCCCGACATCAGGGTGTCACTAGTCATGAGCATCTACTAAGGTCTGAACACAACAAAAACAGTAAAATGTACTAAGTACAGAAATGAAAATAAGAGGAAGGAAGCGGTGCTGCGAACGTCGTGCAGCCACCTTGCTAACTCTGATGACTCCGCGTTTGAGCTACCAACACCCGCTACCGGGTTCCGAAATATGTGAATCTGCACACGAGGTACAGGGAGTAATGTGAGTACTCCAACCTAGTAAGTAATAAGAGTAAATAAAGACTGAGCAGTAGGAAACAATGAATCCACATTTATGTTAAACTCAATAAGCACACAGGCTGCTAAATCAGAATACGAGTCAATCGCCTCTTTTAAAATCCAGCTTTTGGTAAAAATCATTTAAAATGCCTTCCGACAGATTCAGTAGGGGTTCAATACCATTTTTAATAAAAGAGCTGAAAACCATAATCCGCCCCTCGGGCAAAACATAATTCATAAACAGCCCCTCGGGCAAAACAAGAGTTATAAACACCTCCTAACAAGAAAATCTCAATGGAAATAACAAAAGCCAAATTAGTGATTAAGTTCTGAACATCTCATAAACCCCAGCTTAAATGAAAGTTGTTTAAAAACATTTATCTAACATTTTCGACAAAGGCTCGGTATAAAGATGAGTGAAAACAGTCATTAAATCAACATATTCAATAGAAACTCACTCTAAAGAGAAGTGAAAATCAATAAGTTCATAATCAGGCCCCTCAGGCAAACATCACTCATGTGCATGTATATATCTATCGCCCCTCGGGCTAGCCTTTCAGTCACTCGTGACTCAACTCCTACCATTCAGCGCTCACACTCAGCACTCACGCTCAATAGGTACCATATAGTAACTGCTGCGGTGTGCAGCCCGATCCATATATCGCTGCGGCGTGCAGCCCGATCCATATATATAGTCGACTGCGCTCACTGGGGATGTGCAGACTCCGGAGGGGCTCCTACAGCCCAAGCGCTATGTCATTGCTGCGGCGTGCAGCCCGATCCATAGATATATAATCCTCACAACCAGGCCCTCGGCCTCTCTCAGTCATTAGTCTCACAATCAGACTCTCAATCTATCTCAGTCATCAACCTCACAATCATACTATCGATCTATCTCAATCATCAACTCACGATCACTCGGACCATCAGTAAAACAGGGAACCCAACCCAAACAGTTTTTACATTTTTAAGAAATATAGTGATAAAACCAGATTTAAACAATAACCAGGTAAAAACATGACTGAGGATATGCTTTCAAAACAAATAGAGTGAGGAAAAATAGTAAAAATGCCCTTAAGGGTCTCAACAGGTCGGCACAAGGCCCCAAACATGTCATACAGCCCAAAATATAATATCAATCTCTAGAACATGGAATATCATAAGGTTTCGAATCAAATACGCGACTCAACAATCGTACGGGACGGACCAAGTCACAATCCCCAACGGTGCACAACTCCACGCTCGTCATCTAACGTGTGCGTCACCTCAAAATAACACAACGATGTGTAATCCGGGGTTTCAAACCCTCAGGACAGTATTTATAATCATTACTTACCTCGATCCGGTCCAAACTATAGCCCGCAATGCCTCGCCCGCACGAATCGACCTCCGGATGCTCCAAATCAAGCCACAATCAGTACATAATCATTAAAATATGCTACGGGAGCGAAGCCCACTCGAAAATATCCAATTTAACATCAAAATCCCGAAATTGCTCAAACCCGGCCCCCGGGCCCACGCTTCGAAATCCGACGAAACTCACAAAATCCGATAACCCATTCAACCACGAATCCAACCATACCAAAATTACTAAATTCCGATAACAATTCGGCCTCCAAATCTTCAAATCTTATTGTCAAATCCCTAGGTCCAAATCCCCAATTTACACCTCAAAAACATGTAATCTAGTCGGATTATTCGATGATAATTCAATATTATGGAGTAGAAATGATCACAAGTGACTTACCTCAATATTTCTCATGATTTCTTGCTCAAAAATCGCCCCAAGCCGTGTTCTTTCACCAAAAAAAGTCAAAATGAGCTAAAAAAAACATAACAGCTTTAATAAATCCGATCCTGGTCGCTAAAGGCTTAATTCCCGTCGCTAAAAGGTCCAATCTGGTCGCTAAAAGGTGCACACCAGATCTAATGCACCAGCAGTCTTTAATTTCACTAAAAAGGCTCTAACTCCATCAGACGAACTCGAAATTCGATGATTCTTGTTCCTATGAGTCACAATTAATGATACAAAAATAGTCCTTCAATCGAAACTCAATTCAGAGCTTGTTTGCTCAGTGCGATATCCATTTCACTCGTTAAATAATTAACTCATGATTCGCGTCAAAAACCCGATCGCGACTTGATGAAATTAGACCAAACTTTCCAGATCACTCCTATAATTCATTATCAAAATTCCGGAAGTCTCAAAATCAAATTTCGATCTCTAGAACTAAAAATGGACCTTTGGATCATTACATGCTTATGCTCAAAACGCCAAAATCTTCCAAAAGCTCTTCCAAAACATATCCGAGCCTCATGGGACCCCGACCAAATATGTCAACACACCCCATAACATAATTCAAACTTGTTCCAACCTTCGGAATGCTCAAAACAACATCAAAACATCAAATCACCCTCGGATTCAAGCCTAAGAATTCCAAAACTTCCAAATTCCGAATTCGATCAAAAAGTCTATCAAACCTCGTCCGAATGACCTGAAATTTTGCACACACATCACAAATGACACAACGGACCTACTCCCATTTCCGGAATTCCATTCCGACCCCGATATCAAAATTTCCACTGCCGATCGGAAAACACCAAATTTCCAATTTCGCCAATTCGAGCCTAAATCTACCACGGACCTCCAAAATACATTCCGGACGTGCTCCCAAGTCCAAAATCACCTAACGGAGCTAACCAAATCATAGAAATCCAAATCCGAGATCGAATACTAAAAAGTCAAAACTTGGTCAAACCTTTCAAATTTCATGCTTCAACTGAGAACTGCTCTTCCAAATTCATTCCGATTACCCTGAAAACCAAAACCAACGATTTATATAAGTCATAATACATCACACGGGGCAAGCCATGCCCGAGAACTGGCGAGCAAAGTGCAAAAGCTCAAAACGACCGGTCGGGTCGTTACAAAGAAAAAGAAGAAGAAGAAATAGTGAAAAAATAAATTTGCGCCTTCAAATTTTGGGGGGCCTAAGGCGACGGCCTCACTGCCCAAGCCTTTAGAGCCACCCCTGATTTTGGGATAAAGTTTGGGACTAGCTTTATTTTATGTTTAGTTTGGGGTATTAGCTAATACCAGAATTACTTTTACATTAACATAGTGGGATTAGCTATCCAATATAGGAAATAGGGGTAGCTAATTTCATGGAATATCCCACTCTGTGAGATATTTTTGGGATATTCCACCATTATACCGAATAACCCCTAATACTTTTAATTAGACTTATAATTTGATCACAAATATGCAGAATATGACATTTTTTTATGGTAGTCTTTAATTTTGTATCTCCATTTGTCTCATAGGCTTAAGGTCATGGGCAAAACTTTAAGGTTAAAAGTTAAAGTGTTACACATGGGACAAACAAGAAGCGACACTTGTTAAACTTGTCGTTCTGTCCATGGGGAAAACGCGAACAAAAATTTAACACCATCCACTTTAAGGGCTATTTGTCATGCTAGGGGACTTCCCTTTGGTTAACCTTACGCAATACGAATCTAAATCAATTAGGGTCTCGATAACGATATTGAATATTAGGCGGAAAACCCAAAAAATTAATGACCAATTATATGGCGTGGATTTTTAATAATTAATTTTTATATTTCAATGAATTGAGCTAAAAACGCATTAAATTACATATTCATGTGTCAAAGATATTGTGTTGAATTAAATTATAATGTATATAAATATATTATAAATAAATGTTTCTCCCGTCTATGACACTACCACTATAAATAGGGATAGGTTCGTTCACCTATGACCTATCCAAACATTCACACAATAACTAACCAAATTGTTCTAGAACCAAAAATTCCAATTCAATGGCTTCTACTTCTACTTCTTCTTTTCTTTTCTCAACTTCAATTACCGGCTCCAAATTTTCTGCCTGTGCGCCACTAACACCGCCGAGCTCCATCAGCTTCCGGCAGCAAACACCGCCGTGCTCCGTCAGCTTCCGGCAGCAGCGATCGTTCTCTGTTTCCGCCGCTTACTCCACCGCCGAGAGGACTACTACTAGCTCTAACATCGCCTCACAGTCATCGTTGTATGAAGTTCTAGGACTTCAAGCTGGTGCTACTACTCATGAAATTAAGTCTGCTTACCGGAGATTGGCCAGAATTTTACATCCCGATGTCGTCCGATTTCAGCAGAATTCTTCAGCTGAGGACTTTATTAGAGTTCAATCAGCTTATGCTACTCTCTCCGATCCAGAAAAACGTGCCAAATATGATCGGACACTATTTGGGAATAGATTTGGACGGTCTGTCGGAGTGTCGTCGGCGGGAACTCGTAGCCATTACACTACTCGCCGGAAGTGGGAAACCGATCAATGTTGGTAGCTTTTTTGCTTCGAACGGTTCATTGTGGATTTTAGCACTCCTTCGAAACTCACTGGCCGATTAGTTTCGTCTCCTGAGTTGGTTATGGTCAAAATCAACCATTACCATTTCAGAGGTACCGCTAAAGATGCTGAAAGTACCATGATCAGACGCGTTAGTATTTTGATTAACTGATAGGGTAGTAGTAGCATTTGTACAGTATATGTAAAGACGAATGCGTAGATTACTACTACTATTATGTTCGTTGGGTATAAGATCCTCCCTCCGGTCCATAATAAGTGATGTTTTAGACTTTTTGTTTTGGCTCAAACTAAGTGTTATTTTTTCTTAATCAAGAATGAATCAACTTTAGTTTTTCAAATTTGTGCTTATTTACATATCTCAATGTATCAAGTTAATAATATAGACGGGATATTACACAAATAGCCGGTCAAATCCAATGTTTACCTTTTCTAACCGTTATATATAGATTATACATTGATTATACACAGTTATACATATATTTCACATGAATTATAATTGTTTAAGAAATTAGGTGGGCGGCAATTTGAATTAATTCTTCAATAATAATCAGAATTTTTAATGTCTGAAATAGGGCTGCTTATCGGGCGGTTATTACTCTTAACGATTTAGCTTATCGGTTATGGGCTTTTAAATGTATTAATCCGCTAGCCACCCGATAAGATATCGGGCGGATTGGTATCGGTTTAGCTCTTATCGGGCGGTTATCGGACGATTTATCAGCCTAATTCAATTAAAATAAAATATAATTTAGTCTCTGTATGTTTAAATAGGTGGTCGACGTACTAAGAGGGACAAAGCAGAAGAGACACCGTGATGGGTAAATCATCTGTCTAGAATCTTATTTATGTTTATGCACATTGGCCATAGTCCATGTGAAAGATTTCCAATTGGCCGTTGTTAAAACAAATGTTCGTCATGCTTAGAATTCTAGGATGCCTTAAAACCCAGGCAAAGTTGATGAAGCAGTGGTGTAACTGGTGTTGTTATCTTGTTTTAGACAGCAAATTCTGTCTTTTGTCACATGTTAGAAGATGAAACTCCTTTTTTTAAATTTGCTTTTCTTTTAAATTCTAAATTTCCCACTTTTTGATAGAGTTAGGGATTTTTTTTGAATTATTAAATAATATACTATGGATAAAAATAAATTTTATGTTGTCGGTATATATATATATATATATATATATATATATATATTCTTAACGGGTTAACGGATTATCCGTTAAGAAAATTGAATAATCCGCCCCCAAACCGATAAGTCGTTAATAAAAAAATTTCAATCTGTTCCCCGTCCGTTAAACCGTCAACCCGATACCAATAAGCCATTAAGCTTCGATTTCGGTTCGGTTTTGAACACCCCTAGTCTAAAAGCGTATACAAATTGTACAATTGACACCTGTATTATTACAATTCGCAATATTATTTTCCATTTGGTGCTATTAATGCAAAGTTGAAAACCGGTGTGTAGTTTCGTTTTCTATGGCCTCTCCATGATCCAAATTGTAAGATGAAAATGGTGTCAATTTGGTCCACAAAATCCATTGGTCCCCACTTATAGGATAAGACTTACGTGTCATAACGAATTCAGGGAAGAAATTCCTAGTAACATTAGCTGTTTTCGTGAAGTAGACTACACTGATTTTTCTCCATAACTATCTTAATGTGTTGCTAATAACTAGGGATATCATTATATCAATGGTTCGGTTGGGCCTGTTATATTATACTAATTTTTCGATTATTCTATTATGTATAAGCAACGTTAGACTTTTTGAACTGTTCCAATTATGTCGGTTTCTCTTCGGTATCGATACGGTTTGGTTAATTTTCGATATTTTTTTTAAATCATGTAAAAGTTACTAGTAGAAGTACAATACAATAACATACGCACTTTTATATGATTTAACAAAATTCTCTAGACATTTTTACAGTTTAAAGGACCATGAATTAAGAAAATATGAAAGATGGCCAGAGTATAGATCCATCAACTATTTTACAGCAGCGTAAAAGAAACTAAGCAAATACAAACAATAAAATATAAATCAAACAAGTGAAAAGATATTAGCCAAGCTAGGACTCAAAAACAAAGTCTATAGAAGATTAGATATTCTAAAAGATAAATATAAAACATACGAAAGAAAATATATTCAATACATTGTAGTTTGCTACTCATAAATCATAATCGCTACAATACCTTGTATCTTTCTAGTGAATATGCTGGAAATAATTTAGTTTCAATATGAGCAACATAATAGGTTTGCGAATTAGGGTTTTGAGTTTATTTACTTGTGGCTTGTACATAAATGTTTTCATAATTTCAAGGACCAAGGAAAAATTCAATGCTTTATTATTTTTAAACTTAATATATAAAAATATTTTCACATGTAAATTTATTCGGTATGAATCGTTATTTTTCGGTTTATTTTCGTAAAATAAAAAATTTACCCTAATTATCGGTACGGTTATAAATTTATATAAAAACCTACAGTTTTATTAAAGGAAATCTAAAAATAGATTTGGCACGACATGGTTTATCAATTGATACACCTACTAATAATTGATCAGAAAAATAAAAATCATCTGGAAGCAATCAACTGTCAGACATGTGATGGGCATGTAGGTTAATTTGACTGAACTTATAAAATAAAAGGTTGGCATGACCATTGAATTTGAAAAATAAAGAAGCATAACAGTAGTAACAGGACAGAGCAAAGCTTATAGTACTGGTTCAATAGAACCCAATAGTTTTGACTCAAATTTTATATTATTTATATTTAAATAATTTATTAAATACATATAAATAATTTATTTATAACCCAACAAATAAAAAGAATTACGGTTTAAACCCCATAAATTAAAATTTTTAACTCCGCCAAAAACACACTAGTCAAGGTGATGTTAATGATACACTAAAAGTTACGTGCCTTTATTATAATAGCGGGAAAAAAGTTAGTTATTTTAAGTGAGAAAATGATTTTGTTAATTTATTGATTAATATACAAAATTTAATTACTTTAATGTAAACAAAAGATCACATCGTTAACTAAGTGATAATTTTTACACGATTTAATTTCTACAACTTGATAATTTGTTTGTTTTTTTGTGACATCCTATCATGATCAAATCAAGCAAGTAAACTAGCCACTAGCATATGAAAAGTGTCATCCTTATCTACAATTATTAGCAGAACGACACGTTATATTACGCAACACATACAATTACCTAGTATATTATTCTCAAATCATTGTGTCCTATGAAAAAAGGAAAGAAACATAGCAATAAAAAGACGTCATAAGTTTGAAAATATTGATACAATTGTAGCAGGAGAACAATTTAATCACGAATGAAGACTGTGCGAGTCTTCGATAAATAATCAATTTCTTAAGTAGAAAATGGAAACAAAATATGGAGAGTCGTTACTTATTAAAATTCGACGCCTTGCTTCAAACGGCGTGATTGGTCAGTTCACCTTCTCATTTGAATAACAGACTAAACTACGACTCTACGAATCCGCCGACGAAAGAAGATATTCAATTCAACCAGCGCCAAAAATGAAGTCAAAATCAAATTCTAATAGTGTTGTAGAAACCAATGGTCCATACACCTGGACTTATAGCCGTCCACCCAAAAAAATAGTTGATAGTAGCGAAGTCAGGAATCTCGCTAAGGTTAACCAAATTTAAAGTCCGATAATTTCTTCTGAGTCTCCTCATCCCCCTTCACAGTTATGGCATTTAAGTCCAGTTACAAACATTAGTTTAATGATGATCGCAATTGATGAGTCGGGACTTCCTCCTCTACCACCGAATTTACAGTCCCTTTTGGAGGAATTTGAAGTTGTATTTACCAAACCTCAATGTTTACCTCCGTTCATCTACATCCGGGTTCAGGTCCAGTTAATGTTAAACCGTACCGTTACCCATATTTTCAGAAGCAGACAATGGAGAAATTAGTTTTTGATATGCTTGCCGGTGGAATTATCCGTCCTAGCACCAGTCCATTCTCGTCCCCTATTCTGCTCGTACGGAAGAAGGATGGTACATGGCAATTTTGTGTGGATTATCGGGCCTTAAATGCCATAACTGTGAAGGATAGGTTTCCAATTCCGACTGTTGATGAACTTTTTGATGAATTACATGGTGCAACTTACTTCTCAAAGCTGGATTTATTATTTGGCTATCATCAAATCAGGGTTCGACCTGAGGATGTCGAGAAGACTGCATTTCATACTCATTGTTTAATCAAAAAGTGAAATTTCGGTCAAAGCTTTATTTTAGAAGAACTCGGGTTACTGATAATCAAAAAAATGAATAAAGGAAATTGATTTTGCTAACAATAAGATGAACAGAAGAAAACAAAGTAAATCAGTATACTCCAATGATAATCCGTCCCCTTACAAATGATCAGTCTTCTCCTTTTTATAGCTATTTCTTAGATATACGTTTTGCCTTTGTCATAATAAGGCCATTATAGATAATTAAAGGTATTAAATGCTACGTTACATAATCATTGTAATTCAATACAGATTCTGTAACGTTTTCAGTATTTAATGCTTATTAAATACTGTATCCATACTCTTTTATGCTATCAGATTAATTCTATTTAATCTTGGGGCTTAAATAGGTACGAGCGCCGAGTCTTTTGAATATCTGCTCGTGAATCTACTCGTGCCCCTGCTCATATCTGTTGTAACTCGTGCCTTTTTGCTAATCATCATTCTTTGACCAGCCTTCGTGTCATGACATGTCATCTTTCAATCACTTCAATATTTATAAACTCAATTTTTCCCAATACAGATAGTCCCCCCCACTTGCCATTTATTCGCCAATTGAATATTTGGGAAGTGGATTTTATTAAAGCGGGAATATTTGCCGCCATTAATTCTCTTATGGAATCGACGCTTCATTTGTCACTTCCATTTAATGCTTATTACACGTGGCATCTTTTTATTGGTTCTGTGACTTTGCAGCGTCTTTTAAGGCTTTTTTACGGCTTCACCAATTACGAAGCGACAGTTCTCATTATGACTTTTCCATCGTTGCACCTTTTCCTTTGACGGTTGCTTCTAAGTATAAATATAGTTTCACCTTTGTCTTTCTCACATAAAATTCTCAGAATATTCAATTCTTGTTTGCTTCTTCCTCGTACTATCATGTCTTCATCAAACCCTAACCCCAGGAGAGTCCCCATAGTTGATAACTTTCCTCCTGCCCCTAGCAGGAGCAGAAGAGGAGGTAGACTACGTAATTTAGGGTCTTCATCCATACGTGGTTCTTCTCTTCATTCATCTAGTTCCAGTCCCTCTTCTAGAACCAGAGGTTCTCTTTCTCAAAGGTCTTCTTC